CTTACAAACACTCATGATGGGGAATTTGCAAAAATTCTTTTTTGGGGGGGATTGGTGTATAAATTATGAAATCACATACAATTTCTTTCCATCCCAGACTACAACATTAAAAGTATCACAGAAATTTTCTTCTATGAGAAGGTGGTTTATATCATTTTGACAAAACATTTATATCATTAACTCTGTATAGAGGTTGGAAAACGATATATTTCACTACAAGGCATTATTTATAGTAGTATTTGGATATTTTTGCACTTATGGCCAGCCAGTTTCTCCATCTGGGGTAGTTTTCATATGTCATAAAAAGACCTTAATCTGCTGAGGAAAAACATGCAATCAGTCTATATGCAGTCACTTTCCAGCAGATAAATGGAACTCAAGGCACATTTTCTAGGATTCAGGAACACAGACAGAATATGGACAGAGATTTTGGCAGTTCATTAGAGTACTTACTGATTGAGGAAGGCAAAGAGGTACCTCATCACTATGAGGATGGACCTGGGCAAGGTCAGGAGGAGCTTGCGGATGTGAAGTGCCCTCTCATAGAGATTATCTATTCCTGCAGACAGAAGGTGATACGGTCAGAGTCCTCTAAGTCCACAGTGGGAAAAGATCACTGTAGCACACCTTATAGCCACACACCCAAACATGAGCAAGTCCTCGCCCCTGGGAAGATGGAATTGTAGCCAACACCACAGCTAATCCCTTCGTCACAAATGCTGGGATTATAGGCGTGTACCATACTAGTTTATTTTATGTGACTTGCGTGGCCTTGGCCTTGAGCAATTTAGAGTCCACTTAAATGTAGAAACTATTTCCGTTCCTTGTTGCGAGTTCTAAAGCTTGCCTCTCATATGGTTCTGACTCTTTTTTGCTACACATGAACTAAAGCTAAGTAGTTTTGTGGGGCCTGGTACCCCTCCCCTTACCACCACTTGTTAATTCATTGTGTATTTATTTGTATATTAGTCTGATTTAGGGACGTGTACCCAGGCTTTGATCTCTCCTTCCTCAAAACTACTAGAGCATTTTATTTATATGATTGTATTATACTATTTCAACTTTTAAAAACACATTTTGAAGAATGTAGGAACACACCAGTGACCCGATTTGTACCCTCTAGAAGATACACATCCAAAGGGAGTCGTTTCCTTAGCCCGTCTTCCCTGTGTGATGGTGACAAGCTCCTTGAAAAGAATAGTCCTGGGAGGGACTTCAGAATTATTTTCCCATTTGCCAGGCCCACAACTGCCCGAAACATCTTACAGTGTTGGTGAATAGCAGCAACAAAGTCTTTACCACAAACCCATTATTTGCTTAATTGTATATATTTTACAACGTTTTCATGTTTGTTACCCAACTTAATGGAAAGGACGGCAATGTGAGCAGGCAGGACACAGCTTCCATCTCTCCTTCACAGCAGTAAAGTGGCCTGCCCAGGGTCCGGTGGCTTGAAGGGCCGAGCTGGGCTGGGCTCCCTGCCTCTGTCTTGAAAGTCTAGTTATTGTTCTTGGATCTCAAAGCACCTTTATAATGCACAAGTGTCATACTTTTTCTTTTTTTGTGGGGCTGGAGATTGAACCCAGTGCTAGGTAAGCACTCTACTACTGAGCTGTGGTCCCATCCATGGATTACATTTTATCAAGTAGGATATTTGAGGAAAGATCTCAACAACCAATGTTTCCAAACACTTCTAAAGCTTTTCTATGATTTCATCTTACTGTTTATCATGTATCTACGGGACAATTCTCAGCCTCAAGTGTCTCACACCGCACCAGTAGACTTCCTCAAGGCTTCCTCTTGCTCTTGCCAATGACAACCTCATCCAGTCTCAGGTTTACGAGCATCACTTCTAACATGGCTGTCCTGGCTTCACTTCCCCCCTTGTGGGGAGAACAGTGCTGTGGTTCCAGCTTTGATTACCTCAGTGCTAGTTTCTTCACTAAAGCCTTCCTAATTCCCACTTGGGTGATCATGATACTGTCTGAACTCAGTTTCCCTTTCGAATTACCTAGCATTGCTCAACCTTGACTTGGGTTCACAGGGAGAGAGTTTAAACAATGCGGATGCCTGGGATTCTTGCATGCAGCCAAGGTTGAAAATGACTGCATAATTACTCATGCCAAGCTCATTTTCCTGGAAATTTGAGAACTGACTCCAGCTGCTTCCCACTTATTATCAAACTGGGTATTTTATTTTGCCCTTTGTGTAGCTGCAAAAGTATGAAAAATGTTTTAGGAATATTTTTTGCTCAACCACAAATGAGTCTGTGCAACAGCAACTGTCAGGGTGAGGTGGACTGAACACTTCTATTCCACCATTAAGTATGCTTGGGTTAGAACTGCAGCCTGAGCTGGTCCTGGTGGCACATGCCTTTAATCCCCGTACTTGGGAGGCAGAGGCAAGCGGATCTCACAGCGAGGTGGACTGAACACTTCTATTCCACCATTAAGTATGCTTGGGTTAGAACTCCAGCCTGAGCTGGTCCTGGTGGCACACGCCTTTAATCCCCGTACTTGGGAGGCCCAGCCTGGTCTACATAGTGAGTTCCAGGCCAGTTGAGGCTACAGGGAGACCCTGTCTCAAAAAGACCAAAAAAAAAAAAACCCAACCCCTCCCCCCCTCAGCCTGTTTATCTTTTAGAACATGGGAATTCAGAAGCCCTGGACCCAGAAAGTGAAAGCATCATCATGTGACGATTAACATTCCTACAACATTTTTTGTTCTGTTAACCTAAATCTATAGCCAATAGTATGAATACAGTAATCATGAATTGGAGACATTATATTTCACTTTCTTATTTGTAAAGTATTTAAAAATGGGGGGGGGACTATGAACAAGGTGGGTGAGAGTCATATCTGCTACATATAAATACATCCTAGGCCCTCCTGTCCAGGGATGGCACTGCCCACAATGGATTGGGCCCTCCTACATCAGTTAGCAATCAAGAAAATGCCCCACAGACATCACCTCAGTCTGATGGGAGAAATTCCTTAACTGAGGATCCCTCTTCCCAGGTGACTCTAGTTTGTGTCAAGGTGACAAAAACTAACCAGCACAAGCATTATTCATAATAGCCAAAAGGTGGGAACAACTCAGATGTTGATAGATGAATCAATGGATAAACACAATGTGGTATAAGACATGCAATGGAATACTATGCAGTCATAAAGAGCAAAGTCATTCTATGCATGGGCAGTGAAACCACTATGCCAAGCAAACAAGCCAGACACAAAGGGACAAATACTACACAGTAACATTTATATGCAGCATCTAAATTAGGCAAAATCATAAAGACAGAAAGAACAGAATTGCAATGGCCTGGGGCAAGAGAAGAGGAGTAAGCAGTTACTATCTGATGGATACCCAGTTTCTTTTGGGGAAGAAGAAATAGTTCTAGAAATAAATAGTGATGATGGTTAGACAATATTGTGAATGTACTTAGGGCCACTGAACCATACACCTAAAAATGGTAAGTTTTACAGTGCATATTTTGCCATAAAAGATAACTGGAAGCACATGGATGCAAATAAAAGATTTAGGAGTGAAAAGCAATGGGGACATAAAGAGAGACTCAGAAAGACTAATAAAGTCACTCAAAGCAGGCACATGTTCCCATCAACTATAGCACATGCACCAGCACAAGAGAGGGCCAGTGCTGGTCTTCTTGAAGTCTCTGGAAGCTCATCTATGCAAAGACCTCAGTCCAAGAGGGCACTAGATTTTACCTGGCATGCTATGCAGCAGGTGTGTGTATGCAGCCTTTGGGGCTCAGCTCTGAATTTAGGGTTGCTGCCAATTTGTGGTCCTTCAGCTTCTTGCTGGATGCAGGGAGGGATCTTTTCTTCTCCCTCAAGGGAGCTGTCAGGAAACTCAGTCCTGTATTCAGATTTCTTCTAAGCTGGGCATTGTTCCCACAACAAAGCATCTTGTGTAATGAGCTAAAGTGGTTCATTATCCAAACTTGGTAACATGCACAAAATTCCTGAGGTTAATTAATGAACGTGTGTGTGTGTGTGTGTGTGTGTGTGTGTGTGTGTGTGTGAAAACCCCACAAAACACGAACTACTTAGGAAATGGCAACAAATCCAAATGGCCATCACCTCATAAACTGGTTCTTCCATAGTACTCGTTGCTCATGTATTCACTGGCCAGAAAACAAATAATAAATCACAAGACACAAATATATCCTTAGGTGTGAAGACAAGGAAAAGAAAGTCTTTGGTGGCCACATGCAGGAACTTTTAAGAGTAGGCACACACATATTTCTGAGCTCCCTAGCCCAGCCATCAGCATTCAAAGTGAATTTACCCATCCCAGGGCACGCTTAGGTTCACCCTGCCACCAACAAGTGGTATCAATTGCAGGTGTGACTGTGTGAATGAAAGGGAAAGAAGAAACAGGTATGTGCTAACACACATGGAGGGATCTTAGCTTCCACTTGTTGAATTCCCACTTGCTTTCCCAGGTAAGAGATAAATGCTTGCAAACCCCAAGAACCAACCGTTAACAGATTGAATCCTGTAAGTAAAACCGCTGCTTTAATCTCTATTTAAACATCAACACTTGAGACATAAACACATGAATAACGATTCTTGTTCTGCTGAATTATCACATCGAGGTAGCAGAAAACGAAGTCTTAGTCTAGGAAGCTCTACCTGTTCACTTACTCAGCCTCTTAAATATTTTCAGAGAGCAAGGAAATTCCAGAAACATAATTCCATGGCATCAAATAGAAATGTAGAATTTAGACAGAAAACTGCCATGTGTGTCAAAAAATCAGACAGAATTTTTAACAGCGCTGGGGCTATAGGGAGACCCTGTCTAAAAAAGACCAAAAAAAAAAAAAAAAAAAAAAAAAGTCCAAAACCTTTTTCTTTCCCCACAAAACTGGAAGTGGGCAATAGCTATCCATACCAACAAGTACATCAGGGTTTGCTGTATGGCTGTTAACTCCCTGGAGTCTATATAAATATGTACAGGTAGGAATATGTTACATAAAATAGAAATCATGGAATAATAAAGTAATAAAAAAGAAAAAAAATAGAAATCATTATATGACCAGTAAAAGCTATATTAAAAATATAAACTGATGAGAAAATGTTAATAACATTATTAAGTTTAAAAAGCAGCTTGTCAAAAGTCAGAATGACATGAGCTAACTGAACTTACAAGAGCTTTATTAAGCTATAATCCATATGTCATATAATTTGCCCATTTAAATGTCAAATTTAATGAACTTAATGTACTCAGAATTATACAACGTCACCTTAATCAATTTTAGGATATTTTCATCATTTCCAAAAGAAGCTTCTTATCAATCAACAGTTACATGGCATAGTATGGTTTTTATGGAAAGCACTTAGGAACAGCACAGCCATACAATGGAGCATCATTGGGTGACAGGATGGAATGAACTCTCGATTCATGCTTACATCAAGTACTGATGCACACTAAAACTTTATGCAAAGTGAGAGTCACTTAGACCACAGTTGCGACCATGGTCACAAAGACCACAGGTTGTATGAGAGCATTTATATGAAATGGCCAAGAAAAGGC